GACAGAGAGAGAGAGTGAGAGAGAGAGAGATCTAGAGAATAAGGAGAAGAAAAATAGAAAAAAAGGGAGAAGAAGAAGAGAACTTGAAGCAAACTTTACCAAATCAACACAGAAGGTAAGAATTCCTACCTAACCTCCTAAAACTGAAATATCACACTCATAATCCTTTAGAATTGAGTTAGATTTATGCTTAAGTGAGGGTTCTAAGTAAAAGGTTAGGGGTAAATCTCCATAGGAACACAATTTAAAGCTATGAAAGAAAAGATTAGAGATACATGACATTTGCATGTTTCATTTCTTGTTTAGCTTGGGTTTTGAGCTTGAGGAAGGAATTTTTCATGGAGTTTTCTTGATAACCTTCTCAACTTCAAGTTTTGATCTTATGTTTGGGCTATGGGTTTTGTTTTAGAAGTATGATCTTAGTTTGAAGGTAAAATTTACCCATGCAATGTGTTTTTGTAAAAGTTGAGCTTTGATTTGTTAAACTTGGGTTTGATTTTTGGAGGTTTGAAGCTCAAAAAACAGAGCAGAATTTTAGGTTCTGAACACCCAGAATTGCACATGCGATTGGGAGGACTGCATGTGCGGGAAGTTGTGGCGCACGTACGGCGAGGAGGCCCGCACATGTGGAAAACGGGGGAAAAGAGAAGTGTATTCTGAAATAGAAGCACCTGCTGGTGCACGTGTGGCGGTTTGGCTGGCCCGATTTCATTTTTTTGCTACATTTGTCCCTCTTTCGAGCCTCCGTTAGCATGGTTTTCACATGCAGTTGACATTCTTTTGTATTGCACAATCATTTAAAAAGAATTACGGACAATTAGATCAACCAATCATTAAACGATGAAAACGGTTAGTTAGTTGCAACTAATTAAATGTGCTATGCTTATATCTGTCCGTGTAGGTCAAACGCCACATCCTGACCACGTAATTTGTGACGCCAACTATGAGTAACACTGTTGTAAAGATATGTTTAAATTTAAAGTATCTCTTTTCTGCTTTATATAATTCTCTGTTTTGACGTGTTTATTTTATGCTTAATGAATGATGATCCTATTTTCCTACACTAGATTTCGTGGCGTCGTTGGCACCTGCCCGTATTGTTACAGAGATCTCTGTTAGTTCCAATTCTTGGAACTCCTGTTTATTATGTTGATGGCCATCATATCTAAGTACCGGCCTTTATGACCGCTTGTTCGGTCTTCTAGACCGCCTGTATCAGCTTGCTATGGGATGTACCACGTATACTTTTATGCTTTTTGTAGAAGATAAGAATCTGTTCAATTTGTGATTTGCCTTACATTATGATCATCATTCAGAACACCTTTACACAATTGTTATTCACTGGGCTCTAACTCACGTTTTGATATATATATTGTAGGTGATCCAGTTCAGGAGGGGACATAGTGGCGACGGTTTTGCCTCAGTTTTGTTAAGTACCCTTTTATGCCTCACGTCAAGGTTCCTATCTGTTGGAGCGCTGGGTGACCCAGTGATCACTTTTTTAGAACTCACTCACGTGTTATAGTCGGTTGTCACTGGCATTATATTTGTTGTTGATGGGAATGACTTCCCTCTTTTGGTTGTATTTTGACAAACTTATGATACCTTGATGTACATATGTATATATATATATAGCAATGCCTTTTGTCTCATGTAAGTTCACAGCTCGTTGGACATTTTCCTTTCTTATGTATTAGCTTCTGCTAGCCTCGTTCGTTTGTTTGTTCAGTTAGGCCTCTGGTAATCACATATTACTGGCCAGTTACGACACTAAACCTATAAGGGTAGGTTTGGATCGTGACAGCAACAAACATATGCCATGAGTTTTGCAACACAGTAAGAAAGCATAACAAACTTACCATTCATTTTAAGAGAAAATAATCAGATTAATAATCGCGACAATTAAGAGAAAATAACGAAATTATTAGGATAACAATATAATGACCATTAAAATAATTTTAACAATTTTAATAGTTTGGGTGACACTCAAAATCTCACTAAAGAGATTTTCTTACCAACCACTAAATCATGGCCACGGTTAATTTGAAAACTCTCAGTTGGTCAAATATTCAAGTGTTACCAACTGTAATTACCAAGGATGCCCAAACCCAGAGTTATATACCCAAGCCTGTCCTAAGGGAACGGTCTGCCAGTGATACGTAACATCCCTGCTTACCACTCGCACATCCACCCTTATCTCAATATCAAATACCGATAAGAGTTCAAATAAGTCACGTGCCATCTTAGGGTTTTACGACACAATTATGTAAAAATTATCAAAAATCAGGGCTCACCCTGAATTACCGGTATTAACCTTTAATCGTTAATTTTGTACATGCCGTTAATCATTTGAGTTAGTTTTTATATTAATCACAAATAATTACAAATTTCAATCACCACAAGTGTTATACCATTTCATTAAAATTCCTAACAGAAAATATTACTCATATGTTATAAAATAATCAAACAATATACAAAATTATAATAAACAGTTAAATTAAACCATGGCATGAATACTTAAAAGTGAACCACAACCACACACATGCATGGAATACCAATTTACATGATTTAATTAATTAGACCAGCACAATATTTATTTTTAGTCCTAATAGATAATTGAAGTAATAATCTTGGTTCCTTCTCAATCTGCCCAGAAAATTTCAGAGCATACTTTTCGTAATTAAAATTATAAATAAATTATTTATACAATTCTAAAATTCATGGGAATACATGGAATATTCAAAAAACATGTTATGATCATTTTCCAGGAAAAAATTCCCAAAACTAAGTTATAAATAATTCTGTAAAATTTCAAAAAATTCCTTGACACATATTCATCACATTTTCTTAAAATAATTTCACACTTAAAATTTATAAATCAATTCCATAATCTAAAATTTGTTATGATACTAGACTTTTCAAATTTAATTTTTTAATTTAGAAATTACCAGATTTGGTTTAATATAGGATTTTTAATGATTTTTTAAACATGCAGTAAAATCTGTCTACAGTTTCAGATTTAATTAAAATTTTGTATAAATTCATACAAAACTAGAATAATTGTTACAAAAATTTCTGGATGAACTAGACATTATTCTTAACAACCTTGTAAAAGAAATCATCTCAACATTTTGAGCATAAAATTGTCTAAAAATTCGTATAAGTTTCTGACAAATTTAACAGTCATATAACCAAATTAAATAAAATCTTTAATCATCTATTTAATGGCACAAACTACACATGCAAGCCTAATTCTAAAATTATATCATGATTTGAAGGCTACTAATATAAAAATATCCTTTAAATATTTGATATACAAATCACAAATTTACATACAATTATAAATAAAATTTTATCTACAATTTTAGTCATTTTATCGTATGAATACAATCTAAAAGTTTCAACAATTAAAAAAAATAAGAGGGTTGAGAGAGTCTTCTTATTTAATGATAAGATTGAAATGGAATGATAAAATTATAGGGAAAATTATAACCTTCCTCATTCTTCTACTCTTCTTCTTATTTTGACTTAGCTTTGCACACAATTATTTATTTATTTATTTATTAAATTCTTCTCCAATCGGTTGAGTTGAGAATTGCAAGCCATATATATATATATAGCAGCATCATTAAAACACCTGAGGCTCTCTTTCTCTCTCCCATCATTCTATTACATCCCATCAAATCTTCTAAATCCAAGACGAATCATAATCTCACTCCCCCCACTATTGCATGTATGCTTTTAAGTGTTGGGTGATTAATCACCTCACAGTGTCACCGAATTTCTCTTCTATCTGGAATGATTCCATCACGTATAATAATTAGTACTTGATTAATTATAAAGATTTAAAATTTAATTACCGAGTATCATAATTTAATTTAGAATTTATGAGGATTGTAGAATTTAACTCGTATATGATTCTATTAAAGAGTTATTTTGAAATTAGAAATTAAGGGTCCAAATGGTTTAAGGAAGTGAAGTTAAGAAGTTGAATCAATATAATTTTAATTACGGCCCCATTTAGGAGTTTAATTAAATATTCGATTTAGTTTAGTAAAATTAAGATTCGATTAATTAGGTCCTAATTGGAATTGATTAAGTCATGAGGATTGAGGATTGTGGTTATTATAAATTAAATTCAATTATGATGTGGCCAATTTAAATATGTAATTTATTGATAGAAATTTGAGTCTGATAAGAAATTGAAGGCTTAGATGATTTGAGGGATCAAAATTGATAATGATAATAAATTTTATTGAATATTTAGAGCCTTTTGGGAATCTGACTAAAAATATGATTCGAATTAATAAATTTAATATAATTAATTGGGCTATAATAGAAATCAATTAAATTAATTAAATTATGTAAAATTTGTGATTGATTATAATTAATTTAATCATGGGCCAACCAAGATTTAATAAGAATAAATGATGCTTAATTAAATTAGAATGTGATTTATGTACTCAATTATTCCTACTCAATTAACTTGATGGAGCCAAATTGGGAGTGTTCTAGAAGAATTGAGAAAGTGGTGTGTGTGTGCGCGCGCGCGCGTGCGTGCACCGTATATCCCTTTGCTGGAGCCTATTCAATTATTTGACACTCCTATCCAACTCCTTGACATTCTGATAAAGAGAGAAACAAGAGAGAGAGGGAGAAAACCGTGAGAAGGAGAGAAGAAAAAGAATTCAAGTTTTGTGCTGAAATTGAAGGAAGAACTTAAGGCCTGTTTGATTGGGGGATATAAAGATTGGGATTCGATATTATATTCGGTGGGGTTTATATATTTCATGTTTGCAATTTTTTTTTGTACTTGTTATATCCCACAATATATTTTGTAAAACAAACATGCATAACATATATCCAATCTTATATATCAAGTCAACAAACATGACTTGGGGGATATACTATCCAATACTTATATCCTATTCATTATATATCCTGACTAAATCCCACATCATATTATATCCTCCATTTTATATCCAACGAAACAAACGGGGAACAAATTAAAGTTTTAGGTAAGAAAGTTTAAGTTTGATTCTTATAGCAATTGAAATCAAGGAGTAATTGGGTTTAATTTCATGACATAAGAAAAGAATGTAAAAGATTTGAGTTAAGTTTAATAATTAAGAAATTGATGTTGTGATTTAATATTTGGGTTTGATTTTCTTCATCCTTCACATATTTTTAGTTTATCCTTACATGCATTGTGAATTTTCAAGATTTTAGAATTTAATTCATATTTTAAAGGTTATGAGCTTGAGATTAAATTGTGATATAAATTAAGAAGTCAAATTATAAATTGATTGAGGGTGGATTTGAGAGAATTAAAATAGAAAGTTGAGGATTAATTATATAAACTCATAGAAATTGGGTCTTGCATGTTTAATCAAGTTAGGTTGAAAATATGAGTTATGGTTCTTTAAATTTGTTATGTTTGAGTTTAATTTTGATAATCATTCATAAATTGGTTTCTATAAATTACATGTAATAAGAGTTTATTAAAGATTTGGCCATACAAATGAATTAGGTTAATGATTATGGAAATCAATTTAGAAATTAATTATTTTGCATTTAATTTTTGTAATCTTGCATGAATTTGGGCCTTATTTCTACACGCATGTAATTTGGAAAAATTAAAGAATAAATATGGGTTTTGATTTTAATTATTAACCCATGCACGAAATGTAATCTAAGAGTTCGACTCAAATTAAACATATTTTGGAACATCTATGACTATGAATTAAATTGAGGTTAAAATAAATTGAGTTAAGCTTGAGATTAAGGAAATGAGTTTGGGAAAATTTATCAAGTTAAATTTGTGTTATTCCTCATGAATTTGGACTTCATCTTTACATGCATCATGAATTAAGAAAGTCATGGAATCAGTCTCATGGATTTTTTAAGAAATAAGGTTTTAAGTAAGAAATTAAGTAGACTCATAGTTGTGGAAATTAATTTGGAAAATTAATTGTTTTGATTTGATCTTGTAGTATTTTCTTGTTATTTTGAAGAGACAAAGAAAATGTTTTAAAAAAACCAAGTTTATGGAAATTTAGAATTAATCCTAAAGTTTTGATTTTATAATTAGATTTTTATTTAATCCATGCATGTGATGTAATTTAAGAATTATATTCAATTTAGATACATTTTAGAACACCCATGATTATAAATTAAGTTTTTGGTTAGAAATTGAGTTAAGTTGAATTTCTAAGAAATTGATTTGTGTAATTCATAGTTAAGTTGATTTTGTTATTAATAATAAAATGGGATCTATTTGTATTACATACGTTATGGAATTTCAAGAGGTTGGGAAGTCTAATTTATATTTTAGAATTGTGGGTTGATGTAAAGAAGATGAGTTAAAACTAGATTTAGACCATTGGAGCATGATTTTGAATGAATGATTTCTAATTGAAAGTGTTTACTAAATTATCCAATGGTTCTCCATTTTTGTGTATCAAAAATACATGTTTTGAGGTTTTGAATATCAAATATGAACTTCAATTATAATTTTGGAAATTTCAGAATTTGTGTTGTCTGCTCGAGCGAGGAAAGTCTCGCTCGAGCGTGAAAATCGAGCTCCCAGTAGTTTTTTCAAATTTTGCAGTCCACTCGAGTGACCAAAGTGGCACTTGAGCGGAGCGGAGACCCATTTTCAGCATATTTTGAAAAATTGCATTTAATTCACATTTTTATTCTCATCTCTTTCCAAGGCATTTTAGACATGATTTATGACTCAATAAAGATTAATAAGCTACCAATCAACATAGATTAGTTAGTTGAAGAATGAATCATTGATCTAGTGGTAGTTGTTTAAGAAGCCAAGTAAAAGATCAATCTATTGGGAAAAGAAGGGCTTAGTAATGAAAGAATATGTGAAATAAGAACCCGGTTTATTTGAATGAGAAAGAATAAGCATAGCAGAACTTCGGATTGTTTAGACGGAAAAAGACTAGGAAAGTCAAGTTTGATCAAGGGAGTAATATTGTATTTCAACGTGTATATGTTATGTGCTTGTGTGGGTTACGTGCCATTGTCTGCCTAATTTATCTGATATGTCCAGTCTGTCTGATTTGCTTCTACAGCCATCTGTGAGTAATAACTCTGTAAAGTTATGTTTAACTTAAGTATTTTCTGACTGGTATGGTATGATCTGTTTTCTAAAATGCTATCTTACGAATTATGAATGGATGTCCAATTTTCTGAAAAGTATTTGTGGTACCCTTAGTTCACGTGGCCCTCGCTCGGGGGTAACAATACCACGGCCAATCTGCACGTCGCCCTTGCTTGGGGGTAACAATACCATGGCTACTTGTGCGCAAGATATGGACCTTTATGGTCGTTGGTACCAACTATGTATGTGGGTCTCTGGACCAAATTGATCTGATAGCTAATGGGTGTACCACGTATAATTTTATACAAAATCTGATTATGAACATGAGTGTGTATCTAAATATATTTCTGTTTTGAAGTTTGAATATGTTCTGATTTAAATACTGGATCCTAACTTGTGTTGGACATCATTCATAAAACCCCCTTTACTCTCTTATTGTTCACTGAGCTTTCGCTCACAGTTTATATTATGTATGTAGGTGAGTCGGCGCGTGATCAGGGCTAGAGTTGGCAGACTTCATTTCTGTTTTTGTCAGCCAACCTATGTGCCTCCCGTGGAGGTCCCGGATATGTCAAGTGATTATCGCTATGTGAGTTAAAGTTTAAATTCTGTTTTCTTGTTTGGTTAAACCAGTCTTGTGTATTTTCAAAAAGGTGCTAAGTCTTTTTTGTCTGATCTGTATATATATTATGATGTAGGGATGATGCATATATATGTATTTCTGTTTTGAAGTCTAAATATGTTCTGATTTAAATACTGGATCCTAACTTGTGCTGGACATCATTCATAAAACCCCCTTTACTATGTTATTGTTCACTGAGCTTTCGCTTACAGTTTATGTTATGTATGTAGGTGAGTCGGTGCGTGATCAGGGCCAGAGTTGACGGCCTTCATTTCTGTTTTTGTCAGCCAACCTATGTGCCTCCCGTGGAGGTCCCAGATATGTCAAGTGATTATCGCTATGTGAGTTAAATTTTAAATTCTGTTTTCTTGTTTGGTTAAACCAGTCTTGTGTATTTTCAAAAAGGTGCTAAGTCCTTTTTGTCTGATATGTATATATATTATGACGTAGGGATGATGTGTATATATGTATATACAAAGTTTCAAATTTTTTTGTCTTATATAAGTCTGCACAGCTCAATAGACGTTGTATATTGTTATTTGCTTCTGCTAGCCCCTAATATTATGTTAATTTGTCTCAGAGACCTTCGGTAATCCTAGGATTACTGGCCGGTTACGATGTTGAGCCTGTAGGGGCAGGTTTGGATCGTGACACCATCATTCTATTACATCCCATCAAATCTTCTAAATCTAAGACTAATCATAATCTTACTCCCCCTACTATTGCATGCATGCTTACAAGTGTTGGGTGATTAATCACCTCACACTGCCACCGAATTTTATATGATTTATTTATTTATTTATTTTTGTATGTATGGGTTTCTTAAAATCAATAATTTTATATGATTTATTTATTTATTTATTTTTGTATGTATGGGTTTCTTAAAATCAATTAATTAAGGTTTCTAACTAAGGTATTTAGTAAGAATAATTATTAAGTTGAATCTTTATCAAAATAAATTATAAACAATAAATAATGAATACCCACAAAATTATTATTTTTAAAAATGTTCTTGTTAGTGACTAAATTGGAATGGTTTAAAACTAACTTATATACTAATATATATTTTAAATAGACTCTAGATAAAATCAATTTATTTTTCACATTTTATGATGCATTTTATTTTTTTAAGAATAATTAAATGTGAGTTTTCACACAACTTACTTAATTGTTTATCATTTCTAGGTGATAGGACTTAGAGTGAACTCATAACGTAACAGGAACTCAATTGCATGAACTACTAGGGCATTCATTTGTTATTTTATTTTTTTGGTTGTTAAGTCAATTTTGTGCATGCCCTTTCATTGAGATTCATTTATAATTATTTTGTTACGTGGATTGTTTGTGTCCCATTAGTTTGAATGGTAATAATTAGCGTTGGTTTTGACTGTTTATACTTGTGACATATCATTGAGTTGAGTTTTGATTGATTCATTTATTTGTAGACTATTGTTACATTTATTCTATGTAATTATGGATTCGTGTTTAAGTTACATATGCCTTCGACTAAGGCCTTATAGGCTACGACTGGTCATGCCAGGTTTGGGGTATGACATACACACAGTTAAAAACAACACACATAGTAGAATATATATCTATATAATAAGGCAAGAGGATTTTAAAAATGTATCAAAATGTATGTGAGATACATTTTGATCCAATGGTTTAAATTACTCCATCTAAATCTCAATGGTTAGGATGTCTTTGAGCATCAACGGTCCAAAATGTAATGGTCCAAAACTCTCCTCTATCACAGGTACTCATCTTCTCTCTCTCTCATTTCAATTTTTGAACTCTCTCTCTCTCTCTCTCTACCGTGCGACGACCACAGACCAACCACCTCTCCTCATTGTGTCATCCTCTCTCTCTACCATAATGGGTGTTCCGGCTGAGTCATAGCGGAGAAGTCAAGGCCGACGGGAATTGCGATTGACGGCGGAGATCATGGACGCCGGAGATCTACGGCGGAGGACGGTGAAGAGATTTATGGAAGATCTTGGATCTGTTGTGAGCGGTGAGGAGAGAAATGCGATTGATGATGCGATAAGGCATGTGGTTCAGGAGGTCAAGTTATTGGCTAAGAAGGAAGATCGGGAGGGTTTGGATTCATCTATCAACGAGCTTCTTCTTCTTGGAATGCAAAGGTTAATTTCTTGCTTCTTTGTAGATCTGTTTCTCGCTTTTGATTGTTTGAATGTGTGTTTTCTTTTTATTTATTTTACTTCTGTTTGTTAGAAGAAAATTAGGAAAATTAGAAGAATGCCAAAAATTAGCTGTTTCATTCTTCGTTGTTTGGATCAAGAATGCCAAAAAAATTCCATTTGAATGAGTAGAGTGCAATACCACTATGCTGTATATCTTTGTTAATCTTGAAACCGAATTTCATTTTTTTCCCTTCGTTTTCTCAGCAACCAAACAGGGTCGGGAGCTTGCATATAGTCAGTGACAGGACAGAATAATCAACCTACATGGATTGATCTTCCAACTTAAATGGATTGATCTTCTTTTTCTGATTTTTGATTTCTTAAATGGATTTAAATTTAAATTTTTTGGGTCTGAAATGGGTTTCATTTTTCTGGTGAATATTGAAATGGAGACATTGTTCTCTACTACATTGTGTATAAATGGGTTTCACTTGATTTTGTGTAGTCCAGTGTATATATACATGTATGTATAGTCAAGTGTATAAATGGGTTTCACTTGATTTTGTGGGTTTGAAGAACATGTGGATTTTCCTTATAAAACAGTGAATGAAAGGAAACCTGATTTTCCTTATAAAACAGTCACTTGGTATTTCTTCACTGTTATGGGTTTATGATTTTCTTTCCATTTTGCTCCTTTTTCCCCATTCAATGTAGAAAAAAATTGATTAATAAACATGATACAAAATGGGTTCAGATTATCAAGTAAATTAAGGAATGTTGAAAAAAATTTGATTGTGGAGTGAATTATTTTGTTGTTCCAAATTTTATACCGTTGGGTTTAGTGAATTATTCCCATTCAATGTTTGTTATTTCTCGGCTGATTTGATTTCTGCCATGTGAATGGTCATGAGTTGATTTAGAAATCAAATGGCCTTTGCTTTTTTCTTTTTTTTTTTTTCACATCTGGTTATGGTGTGAATGTTTTTGTGGTGTGATTTTGTTTCTGATTTTTCTGCTGTTATGGGTTTATGATTTTGTTTCCGTTTTGCTCCTTTTTCCCCATTCAATGTAGAAAAAAATTGATTAATAAACATGATACAAAATGGGTTCAGATTATCAAGTAAATAAGGAATGTTGAAAAAACATGGCCTTTGCTTCTTTTTTTTTTCACAATTAATTAATAAACATGGCAAATGATACCAAATGGGTTCAGAATCCCAAGTAAATTAAAGAAGGTGTATTGAAAAAATATGTGATTTTGTGGAGTGAATAAATGTGATTTTGTGGACAGAATATATTATTTCTGTCCATACCTCATCATTTTTTTTCCTTCTGTATTTTGATTTCAGTTTCACAATTTGAAACTACAACATCTGTATGTTTCTTATGCCTGTAGATTTCTGGTTTCTCATATTGAATTGTATTATTAGTTTTAATTTTTTTTAATTGATTCAACGACAATCAGTGTTCTGAGGGGCCGTCTGGTAATAGATTTTTTTAGTGATTTTATAAAAACAAACTTCTCTCAACAATCCAAAAGGGAAAACCAGGGGCCTTTTCTCCTGTAAGACCTACAACATTCTTGAAAAATTACAAATCAAGCCTAGATTTTTTGGGTCATTTAGAAGGTAAATTCTTTTAATTTTTTATTTGAACTCTTTTGGATTTAATTTTTTTCTTTTCAACAGAGGTGACTGCTGGATTTTTAAACCTTAATTATCAATCAAACTAAATTTTCCAATAATGACTTCATTTTTTGTGTGCATCTTTTGTGTGCAATGGTTGTGTGCATCTTTTGTAAACAACACCTGTATCAATCATGACTTCATTTTTTCCTGCATCTTTTGTGTGCAATGGTTGATTCACACCGGCAGATTTTTGGCTGATTGTAGAGGTGTTTGTTCAGGGGGAGTTGTTACCCATTAGAATTTTAAGTCCATTTTCTAATTTATGTATTTTTTTACTGCTAGCTTTCTATTGTCACTTTCCTAACATCAGAATTAGATGAGAGCTATGAAATTGGATCTAAAGTTTGCTCAACATCAAAAGTGGGTGATGTCATTGAATCTAGATTTATTGAATTTGTAATCACAACTGTCTTGATTTTTTTTGAATTAATTATATGTTATATTTGATTTATATTGTGATTGCATTAATTAAAATAAACTTACAATGCTAAGGACATATTCCCTCAAGCATTTAGAAGTCAATTTAGACTTACACAGTAAATCAATTTTCTGAGGAAGGTAATTTTCCTAC